ACGTTTGTAACAGGTCGTCTCAAAGGACCTGTACGTTTGTAACATTACGTCTCGAAGGACCTGTACGTTTGTAACATTACGTCTCGAAGGACCTGTAAGTTTGTAACGTTACGTCTCGATTGTCTACTATGCAAACACTTTAAAAACTGCACTTAGACTTGGTTAAAATAAAACAAATCCTTTACCATTCTACTGATAGAAGTTTAGTCTGTATGCACGTGCATCAGACTCTTCCAATATGTCTTACTCTGGTCTGTTGGAAGACGTTCTGACAGTCTCCCCCCATTATAATGAAATACGTTCAGACTGTCTTTACCTATATCAGTTTCTTTCGATATGACTTTAAAAGAATCTTACCCCATTCTGCTGAAAGAAGTTCTCGTTGTCTCCACGTGCATCAGTTTCTTCCGATATGACCGTTGTTCGAAAGACAATGACAAACACTCCATTGAGCACGAGGGAAAGAAAAAGGTTCTTGTGTATCGCGATGCGCGGTACTTGGAGCTGCCTGGCGAAGTCACATGAAAACAAGAAATGGAAAGATATATTAATTTTATGTAACGTACAGTTTGTCAAACAGAACAACAATTACAACGGCGGGAATTATTTTATTAAATTTTTTACTTGTTCTTTTTTCTATTAAATAAAATCTATTTAGATAATTTTTTTTTCCAAAAAAGAAAATTTAGCTTCATACAAAGGAAAAAAAAATGCTTCAGAAAATTAGATTTCAATCACGAAATCGTAAACAAAAATATAAAAAATTTAACTGTCAATTTATTCTCTTAAATAATACATTGATTTTTACTAGAGACACCATAACCTAACTGAAGCTCAAAGCTACTTACTTGTAAGTGAAAAAGATAACCAAGGATGGTATAAGAGCAGATATGGATACTCCAAACGTGATGATATGGAAATACAAACGTTTTCTTAGGGACTATCAAAGAAAATTATATTTAAAAAAACGCTACCTGGTGTTTGAATATGAAGAAAAAAAGTGATCTAATTTACCATTACTTGAAAGTTTAGTATTGTGAAAATGTTTTGAAACATTAAAAAAAAACCCAACAAAGTTCAGAAATACTCTACAAACGTTCAGAAAAGTCCCAATGATTAGTTTTAAATGTCATTCAAGCATTTTGTAACACTGCTAATAATTGGTCAAAATACTTTACCGACGTTCTGAAGAGCCAATGTTTAGTCTATGTGATCTACAAGGACTTTGTAACAATGGTAACAATTGGTTAAACTACTCTATCAATGTTTAAAACAATATGAAATAATGACACTTGTGAAAGTGTTTTAAAGTATTCTTAAAATATAACAAATGACTGGCAGTTTGCTGTAAAAGTACTTTAACAATAGTATCAACAACTGGAAACAATATTAAACAAGTCTTTAAAAAAATTCTGAAACACACAATCTGTGGTTTGTCAGAATAGTCACTATATTTCTTACAACAGGGCTAAGGGTTTTGTAAAATTTCGAATTTCTCACAGATATCTTGGAACGTTATCAACACTTAGTAATAGCAGTCTGGAAATGTTTTAAAACAATTTCAATGATAGGTCAGAATACCCTACAAACCTTTTAAAACACTTTCAGTTATTGGTCACTTTACTCAACCTACGTTCAGAAACATTCTTAATGGTAGATCAGAACACCCTATAAACCCTTTAAAATACTTTCAGTTATTGGTCACTTTACTCAACCCACGTTTAGAAATATTCTTAATGGTAGACTATAATACTCTATAAACCCTTTAAAATACTTTCAGTTATTGGTCACTTTACTCAACCCACGTTTAGAAATATTCTTAATGGTAGACCAGAATACCCTATAAACCCTTTAAAATACTTTCAGTTATTGGTCACTTTACTCAACCCACGTTTAGAAACATTCTTAACGGTAGACCAGAATACCTATAAACCCTTTAAAATACTTTCAGTTATTGGTCACTTTACTCAACCCACGTTTAGAAATATTCTTAATGGTAGACCAGAATACCCTATAAACCCTTTAAAATACTTTCAGTTATTGGTCACTTTACTCAACCCACGTTTAGAAACATTTTTAATGGTAGACCAGAATACCCTATAAACCCTTTAGAATACTTCTACTTATCGGTCACTTACTTAAGCCAGGGTTTAGAAACACTGGTGATAATTGACCGAAAAACTCTGCAAATCATTTAAAATGTTTTTATCAAACACGACGTTGCTGTACACACGTTTACATTTATTTTATTGACTGGTCAGAATACCATGAAAATATTTTGAAATATTACCAAAACACTGCTTTATCACTGCAATATACAAACCCTTTAGGTTTTTCATACTTACATCAACAATGCCACATCTGCTATAGTCTGTCCATTCCTTCAAAAGTTTCGTTACGAGCCATGTGCCGTTCGTACCACAAGTCTTTATGGCGTAACCTAAAAAAAACTTCTTTAACATTGTACTTTGTTTTATTGTACGTTGTAGATTAAAGCATGTTATAAGTATAATTATTTCAAAATATTCTGGTTTCATAAAACAAATTATAAATACTCTGCCTCGTTTAAAGTTTCTGTTATATCACAGTTTCTCTATAAAGTACTGGTTAATCTTTATAGCACCGCTTCTATTTACAGTATTGGTTATAGCACAGTTTCCAATCGAAGTACTGGTCATAGCACAATTTCTAATTAAAAGTCCTGGTCATAGCACAGTTTCTAATTAAAGTACTGGTCATAGCACAGTTTCTAATCGAAGTACTGGACATAGTACAGTTTCTAATCGAAGTACTGGTCATAGTACAGTTTCTAATCGAAGTACTGGTCATAGCACAGTTTCTAATCGAAGTACTGGTCATAGTACAGTTTTTAATTAAAAACTGGTCATACCACAGTTTCTAATTAAAGTACTGGTCATAGTACAGTTTCTAATCGAAGTACTGGTCATAGCACAGTTTCTAATTAAAGTACTGGTCATAGCACAGTTTCTAATCGAAGTACTGGACATAGTACAGTTTCTAATCGAAGTACTGGTCATAGTACAGTTTCTAATCGAAGTACTGGTCATAGCACAGTTTCTACTCGAAGTACTGGTCATAGTACAGTTTCTAATCGAAGTACTGGTCATAGCACAGTTTCTACTCGAAGTACTGGTCATAGCACCGCTTCTATTTACAGTATTGGTTATAGCACAGTTTCTACTCGAAGTACTGGTCATAGCACCGCTTCTATTTACAGTATTGGTCATAGCACAGTTTTTAATACTTCGATTAGAAACTGTGGTATGACCATTACTTCAATTAGAAACTGTGGTATGACCATTACTTCAATTAGAAACTGTACTATGACCAGTACTTCAATTAACTGGTCATACCACAGTTTCTAATTGAAGTAATGGTCATACCACAGTTTCTAATTGAAGTAATGGTCATAGTACAGTTTCTAATTGAAGTACTGGTCATACCACAGTTTCTAATTGAAGTACTGGTCATACCACAGTTTCTAATTGAAGTAATGGTCATA